CAGTGTTCCGGAGGGTGGCAATGACAGGAGGTGGGAAGAGGAGGAATTAGAATTCCCTCTGATTGTAAGGCACGCCCAGAATCTGTCACCCAGTGAGCATTATTCGGAAGTAGATTTGGAAGAATTGTAAATATGTATTACAAACTCAAACATCACCCAAAAACTGGTATGTTAAGGAAAAAATAGAATCATTTAAAATAAAATGCTTAATTAAAAACCACCAAAAAATAAAACAACAGAAAAACAGAAGAAGTCACATAAAGGAACAAAGGAAAGGAAATTGAAGTCAGGTATAGATGGCTCACTCCTGTAGTCCTAGCTATGCAGGAGGCTGATCTGAGGATTGAGAGGGGAAGCCAGCCTGGACAGGAAAGTCTGTGAAACTCTTATCTCCAATTAACTACTCAGAAAAGGCCAGAAGTAGGTGTGGCTCAAGTGGTAGAGCACTAGTCTTTAGCAAAAACCTCAGGGGCAGTGTCCAGGCCCAGAGTTCAAGCCCCAGGACCAGGAAAAAACAAAAAACAGAAATGGCAAATACATTCAATATTACTACAACTAAGTTGACTTTGACTATAGACTGTCTATATGCGTTACTTAAAACATTGTTGGTGAGAATAAAGAAATAAAACCCAGTGCAATCCTGTCAACTCTGAGGTTTACATGGAGCTATACCTGAAACAAACAAAAGACTTGACTTTCTTCATTGTCATCATTTTTAATATAGTATTCAAAAACACTTATGAAGACTCTCTGCTAAATGCTTACTAATGTCAGATTCATTTACACCAACAAAAATGAACCAAATCATTCTATATAAATAAGCATAAAATGTAAACCCAAAATGTGACTCACACGTTTAAAGAGGTTTATAATTACCACTAAATTAGAGCCACTCTTTGCTTCTCAAAACTGCAACTTGACACAGAACCTGGTTACATACTCTGGTCAGACAGTAATTCAACGAGAAATGTATACATTATGACTTGAATTAAATCTAGAATAGTGAAATAATGCACGTTGAGTTCACTTGAGGTTGGTTTGCTTGCCACCAATTTTATTTTGAGTGAGGTTTTTCATAATAAAACTTGGCCTGGTCCTCTTCAATTTTATAATCATCTGGAATGTTCTGTTTAATAAGACTGTTTCCCCTGTTATAAAGTTATATGACAGATTCATCGCAGTAAGTTATGGACAGAAATACAAGGCCACTGATGACAAAAATACTTTATTAGGACCAGAAGCAGTCCTATAAATTGTAACAGAAAGGGAAGGGTGATTAACAGCTGAGTAAGAATTCTCCACTCAAGCCAGGTACCAATAGCTTACACCTATAATCCTAGCTATTCAGAAGGCTGAGATCTGGTTTCCAGCCCCAGGAGGAAAGTCCATAAGAGTATTATCTGTAATTAACTACTAAAAAAAGAAAAAAGGCTGGGAATGTGGCTTAGTGGTAGAATGCTTGCCTGCATGCATGAAGCCCTGGGTTCAATTCCTCAATACCACATACACAGAAAAGCTAGAATTGGCTGTGGCTCAAGTGGTAGAGCGCTAACCTTGAGCTCAGAGAGACTTAGGGACAGAGCCCAGACCCTGAAGTCAAGCCCCAGGACCAGCAAAAAAAAAAAAAAAAAAGCTAGAAGTGGAGCTATGGCTCTAGTGTTTTAGAGCACCAACTACAATAAAAGCTCATCAAAAGCACTCAGGCCCAGGACTGGTACCACAGAAATTGTCTACTCATAAGACACATAGAAATCACCTCTAGAAAACTCAGGTGAGGAAAGGGGCAGAGAAACATTTTATTCTGTATGACTCTATTGTTTTACTTTTCATAATAAATAATGAGCCACTGATAGTAATGATACCGTCTATGAACACAAGGGAAATAGTACACCCTAAAATGCCCCCATCCTCTCTCAGCAATGCAGTAATGCCACAACCCCACAGAGCAAAGGCTATGCTAGTGAACCAAAGTCCTGCCCTTGTGTATATACTACAAATTCACAGGCTCTCCATCCGTTGCCATCCCCCATGCTTTTGCCTTCTGTTCATTACTGTTCATAGTCCAGTGTGTCAGCTTCGCTTTGTGCCGCTTTATAAGTATCCACAATGATTACTATTTTAATGCAATATCTTAAGACCAAGATAAACAGGACAGTTTAAATGCATATGTTATGGCCAACCTTTGACTCCCACCTCTAACTCCACCCCCACACTCTTCTACACTTACACACATACACACACACACACACACACACACACACACACACACACACACACACACAGCCTCTGGCCACTGTCACATATTTCATCTTACCAGCTGTTTTCCTATTACCTTCCACAGTCTATCCGACAATGGCATTATTATTGATGCTACAATAAACAGCTAATGTATGTAGTAAAAACATATCACTACAATGAATCAAAATGACATGCCCACTCATCAAACACCCTCCACTCATCCTAACACTTTCTACTAATGATGTTTTCTACAACACAAGAAAAAAAACCGTTAAAGTATTCCTAAAACCAAAGAAAAATAAAAGCAAATGTTGAGTCCATTGAAATTAGAAAGTAGGTTCAACCAAAAGGCATGTGTCTTATAACATGATAATCCATCAGTTCTATGCATACCCTACTTGATCTGATATTCTAAAGAACATGCAGCACAGTGTCACACAAAGGAGCCAAAGTCTCACTATGAAACAACCCTTCTGAAATTTATCTTGTAGACAAAGAATGAGTTTACTTCTTTAGTTTGATTTTTGCTTTTTGTTATCATTGTTGCTAGTAACAACATAAATTTGGGATCTTAGTTTGACAGAATGTGTTTACAAAATAAGATAAAAGTAACTCAATTATTCTTAACATTTCCTTTGTTATTTCTGAGAAGTATTGAATTTTTTCCTTTCTCTTCAAAAATACGTTGTGTTCTTTGGGGTCAGGGTACAGCCCCAAATGGAGTTGTGGGGTAACAGTGGAGGAGAACTTGTCAAGCATGCACGTGGCCCCCGTTTTTCCAGAGTCACAATAAATACCTGGACAGCCAAGAAACAAACAAAAAAGATCATGGAAAACTAGACCTAATCATAGCATTATAAAAAGAATAAATTTTATGTTTAGAACATAAGCTAAAAATGTAGAGTTGGACTACCAGTTTCTTTCCCAAATTCAATGCCTGGCAAGTACAGGAAAATTGTAAGATGCTTGCCTCTCATTCTGTTTTCCTGATTGGGATAACAAACATAGTAATGGTACCTAATTCTCACCAATTCTCATAAAATTAAACGGAATGGATAGTATATGGTATGTCTAGTCAATGTTAGCTTATATTATCAGCGTAAATTCAGAAACTCAGGCACAAATCAGTTTGTGATTTCTGAGGTATTTTAACTCCAAAGCAGCAGAATCAGCTCTAGAACTTGGAACTGCTCCTAGATTTATACATTTGACCTTTTTTCATTATTATTAAGCTCATTTGATTTGCATTCTAAAGATTTTACTTTCAAAGGAAAAGGGAAGATGGTAGAAAAAAAAAATCCCTTGGATAAGCCTGGCCTAGATTTTAAAAAGGCTGTATCCTGTCCCAACTCTGTGGGCTGGTGTTCAATGCATACATGCAAAACAAAAATACATACACACTACTCAGGAGGCTGAGATCTGAGGATCGTGGTTCAAAGCCAGCCCGGGCAGGAGAGACCGTGAGACTCCTATCTCCAATAAACCACCAGAAAACCAGAAGTGGCGCTGTAGCTCAAGCGGTAGAGCGCTCGCCTTGAGCTGAAGAGCTGAGGGACAGTGCCCAGGCCCAGAGTTCAAGCCCCACGACCGACAAAAAAAAAAAAAAAAAAATACATACACACACCAAAGTAAGAAAGAAGAGGCCACAAGTAACACACTCAAAACTTCCGCTTAGACTAATACAATATGATGCATTAGAACATAATTACATTTCTTATTAAATGATTAATCTTAGGGTTTGAAGAAAAGGTCATGCTAATGTTAATAATACATCTTTTAAACAACTTCAAAGATATTAACAATAGTATTCGTTATAAATTAATCTCTTGGAAAGCAATTTGGCATCATCTTTAAAAATTCAAAATACATAAATCCTTTCTTTTCAAAAACAAAACTAGGCCGGGCGCTGGTGGCTCACGCCTGTAATCCTAGCTACTCAGGAGGCTGAGATCTGAGGATCACGGTTCATAGCCAGCCTGGGCAGGAAACTCCATGAGACTCTCATCTCCAATAAACCACTAGAAAACCAAAAGTGACCCTGTGGCCCAAGTGGTAGAGCACTCGCCTTGAGCTGAAGAGTGCAGGGACAGCGCCCAGGCCCAGAGTTCAAGCCCCACAACCGACAAAAAAAAAAAAAAAAAAAACTAGGAGTTAACCTAGAATTAATTGGCAGAAGTATGAAAACATGCCAAAAAGAGATGCCGGGAACATTGTCAGCAACACTGAATATTAGAAAAAACATAAGCACTCATTGGTGGGGAAATGATGATATATAATGGTATATAGGAGATACAAAATGTTCCTCCAAATCAATCAATAAATCAAAAACAAATCAAAGTGTACAAAAATTTGTCTCGTTTATTCTATATCTTGTATATCTATGGTGTAAACATAGGATATCAAAATAAAAGTAAAGAAAGAAACCGGCCTTTCTCTCCCACCCTCCTTTTCCTGGCTCTCTTGAGATAAGCAGCTTTCCTTCTACCATTCACATCTACCATAGTGTAATTCACCTACATAAGCACATGTGCACACACACACACACACACACACACACACACACACACATATACAATTGTTCCCACATACTAGTTAAGCATCATTAATCCAAAATCTCAATGAGAAAAATCTTTGCCAATATTTGTAAAAGACTCTAAATTTAAGTAAAAGAAATAAACTAATTTCCTTTTTTATTAGAAAAGAAAGTGACAAACAGACCTACATTCATAGACAGAGCCCTTGCAGGTAGTTGGTGGTCTTACCTGACACTTGGCACTACAATATTTAGCAACTCGACATTGAGAACATCTCATCAGCTTCTCCTTCCTGTTTAAAAAAAAAAAACAATAAGAAAGTCCACATTAGGAAATGAGTAAAAACCTCACATAACTGGCTTAAATTATTATGTAGCTTAGTTGTTAATATACACCTGGGAACTGATTTTTAAATTGCCTTAAATTCAATTACTACTTTATAGAGAAGTGGAGCTGAGATGTTTCCAAGTTGTATCCTCCAAGTCACATGAGTAACAAAAACCAGAAACTTACAAAAATGAATTACAAAATTAAGAATTTAGTTTTTCAGCTTTTCTATACAAGACTATGGACAGTTTCAAGGTAGCCAAGAACACTAAATGTTGAAGTACAGCATTAGCAATGGCTGAGCAGAACAGCTCCTTTATAAGCACTCACTGCTAGGCTGGAGCAGTACAGTTTATTTTCCATCTAAAATACAAATTAAACTTGAAATAGCCCTATGAGGGTTGCCATGTACACTGTAGATATACCTCTCAGGACATTTTCAAGAGATATGAAGTTGATGCTATGGTGCAAATGCCGACCACAAACCGAATGTGGCTGTGTAAGGATAAGATGTGGCCTTATGCAAGATTAAGAACAGAGTTCTACAAAAAGTCGAGTTCAAACACATAAGATACTTCCTTCACCACTGGGGAAACAGAAGGGAAGAAAAATGGGGGGGGGGGGGGGAGTTAACATTCCAAGTAAAGTATGCCTCCTATCCCCACTGTAAACCATAGCTCTCAAATTCCAACACCAGACCATTAACCACACCAACCAATCTGGCCCAAGTTTGGCTTATCACACTACATCACACTCCATGGCCACTTATAAATAATGCTGTATAAAGATTCAGCCTTTGTTTAGAAGACATACTTCGGGCAACAGATATATTACACGGGAAGAGAAGAGTATGTCAGGCAAAGATCAACTAGAAAAAAAATCTGTCACCATATCAATACCTGAAAAGGTCAAAGGAATTACTAGAGATGAAGGTGGTCAGAATGAAAGTCTGGAAGACTCCAGTAACCAGCTACCATGTACTAATAATACATGTTCTCAGCCTCAACATAAAGTACATGTAATGGATCCAGAAGGAAAAAGCGAACAATAGATAATAAGCTAATGCATGTAAGGTCTAAAAAATAGCCTTAAATATAGTACTATACACACATTGTCTATTCCAATAAAAAGATCATACAAGCTCTCTTCCAGGAACTCATAGATCAAGCACATAAAAAACAAGTAGTTCTACAAATTCCCTGCACTTTTTACATGAATGTGTGTTCACACATCCTTCTCAAATTCCTTTTGGTTCTTTTAAAAAGTATTCATCCAAGCTATGCATAGGTGGCTCATACCTATGATCCTAGCTACTCAGGAGACTGACACTTGGAACACTGGGGCAGAAAACCAGCTCAGGCAGAGAAGTCATCAAAATTGTATGTTCAATCAACCAGCAAAATCCTGGGTTGGAGTAGTGGGAGGATATCAGCTGAAAAAGCAAGCCACGCAAGAGTATAAGGCACTGAGTTCAATTACCACACCAGAAAAAAAAAAGTGTGCATACTTACCAGGACACAAAGGAACTCTCAAAAACCTCAGAGAACCAGTAACACATTAGGACAAGCCAAGTATAGTGATACATGCCTGCAGTCCTAGCACTGACTGGGTGGAGACAGGAAGATTTAAACTCTCAGGCCATTCTAGACTATACAAACACCCAGAAAGAAAAAAGGAGGGAGGGAGGAAAGGAGAGGATGAGGAAGGGAAGGGGAAAGGGAAAGGAGAGAAAGGGGAAGGAGAATGTTTAGGACTAAATAAGCAAAGTATCCAAGCTTGAAAAGACACAGGGAAAAATAATACAGAAACATTTATGGCTTTACATATTTATACACCTGTAAAGCCAACAAATAAATCAGAACACATAAATTAGTAACTTAATTTTTTAAATAGAGAACCAAGAAAAGCATAAAGTAAAACACTAAAACCATAAAGCAAATATTTTTTAAACAAAATAAAATACGAAGATACAACAGCGAGGACTGGCAATCCCAGAAAGGAACACAGTACCAATGATTTGCAAATGTGTAAGAAGAATAAACGTAAATAGAGCTCAAGATTTAGCAGAGGTTTAAAAACACATGAGAGAAATCTGGGGAAATGACAGTAGTGATAGTTTTTTTAGTTTCCTTGACTGTTTCCCAAAACAAGACAGCACAAGGACAGCAGAATTCAAGCGCCACACCCACACTGGCCACCACAAGGGCATAAACCCACAAGAGTACTCGAGTAGGCAGAACAAGTCACTAATGGCTCTGAGATCTGAATCAGGATGGATACTGGAAGAAGCAACAGGGCTTCCAAAAGACAGTAAACAAACAAAATCCCAAAGTGCCCAAAGATGGCCACAGTAGATACTTGTAGCCAGTTAGAGAATGGCCGCCTGCACTGGGGAGAGGCGCGCGGGCTCCCTGGAGGATGCCTCCTGAGGAAGAGGTCACTGGGGCTCCCCGACGGCAGACTTTCCTTCACTCCCTTTCCCCTGTCTAACTTACTCAGAGGCTAATCCTGGGGCCTAGGGCCCCAGCTATGCAAGGTAGGCTGTCCTCTCAGAAGTGAGCAAGATCAACACACCTAAGACCACCAGCAAGGAACCATGACAAGTGCCTAGCCTGCGTGTCCCAGACCCTCCCATGGCTGCCAACCAGAGGCGGAACGTACCTCAGCACAAAATGGGGGCTAAATAAACAAGATGATCTCAAGCCCTTGAATAATTCAGTTGCCATTTGCCACACAACCATTTCCTGACACGAGTTATTTAGAGGATGGGGGTAGTATTGAAAGTGAAATGAATGTTTAATTCTCACTTTAAAAAAAAAGGTAACCAAACTGTGCTTGATTAGACCACACACTGGGCCTCTGAAGAGTCCTTCTACCCTGGAGAGGGTCCCCAGAGACACTTGGGCAGGCTGAGAAAGGAAAGGAGACAGAGCACAGCTCCAGACATTTTACAGAAACATTCTGCTTTTGTCTTAAAAAAAAAAAAAAAGCCGGCACGGATGGCTCATGCCTGTAATCCTAGCTACTCAGGAAGCTGAGATCTGAGGATCACGGTTCAAAGCCAGCCCAAGAAGTACAGTCTATGAGGCTCATCTCCAATAAACCACCAGAAAACCAGAAGTGGCACTATGGCTCAAGTGGTAGAGCACTAGCCTTGAGCTGAAGAGCTGAGGGACAGCGCCCAGGACCAGAGTCCAAGCCCCAGGGACCAACAAAACAAAAAACAAAAACAAGCCTGTCATTTTCAAATGAAAACCAAAGCCACATTTCTGGAAAACAGAAATGAGCAAGACAAATGTCAAATGAAAAATAAGAATGATCTGCAGACTTCTAGAAAAAGGACCTCTTGTTTTTGACAGTTCCAGTTGCAAAACAAGCAGCACAGAAGGGGAGCTAGCGAAAGGCACATTTTACCTCATGTGGAGATGCTCCTCACACACTTGCTAGGCTTGGGAAGGGAATCCCACCACACGGACAAGAACTGGATCTTTCAGATCCACTTGGCTCTGGCTGGTCTTTTGCAACAAATGTAACTCAATTTGAAGAATAAGAGCAATTTCAGAGGATGGAGAAGTCGTGTCTATACAACATCTACAGATTGCAAGAATATCATTTGCAAGAGGGCTGCCTAAAGAGGCACCTAGAACTGGAACTTCTCAATGAAAGATAGAATAGCCAGAAAATGGGAGTTTGACCGTTTTTCCCCTCCATCAAAGACTAAAATAATAGTAGTATTCTACCACCAGATGAGAAAAGATACTAAAATTATTTTAGCAAAATAAATGAAAACTTAACTCACTCTCTAAAAAAACACATGCCCTGCAAAACTGACTGCTTCAGAAGAGGGTCAGTTCCTAAGCACTCAGAGACACAGCAGTTCATAACACTCAGTAAGTCCTCTCCCAAGTACAGGCAGAGCTCCTGAGCCTCAGAAAGGAAATAAAAACAAAGCAAAACTAACTGTTCTTCCAGTGTACAAATTAAGAAGCTAGACATGGGTACAGCAAACTCACTATCTCTTAAATAAAATTCATGGGCCCATCAAGTCTCAAATATGAGGTATAGTTAGGGAGACCATGTTTTGAAGGGAAAGAGTACCCCACTAAAACACTATGGCCAGGAAGCAAATAGGGGGAAAGACAGATCAAAAGACAAAGAAATCCTAGTCACTACCACGCTTCCCCATCCCAGGTACCTGCAGACTCCACCTTGTCTTTCCTGTGAAGAACACGCCACAGGCAAACATCACGGAAGTGTGCTCAGTATGCAGGGCTCTCAGTGGTTGTCCCGGTCCCGCAGCTCCTCCAGGAGACTCTGACCCAGGCAGACACTGGCCCCACAGAGAAGCCTGGAGCCTTGCACTCCTGAAGCTTTCTCAACCCAGGGAATCATGGCCCTCCAAGACCAGAAAGGGCTGCAGAGGCCAGCGTGTGGCTCTTTGTACATGAAAAAGCACCCCCAAAAAACAAGATTTAGTTTACAGGTGGTAGACCTTCCCTTTGGGAAGAAAGCTGAGAGAGACTAGAGGCCCTTCGGTAAGAAGGAAGAGGTGATGATGCAGGGGCTGATTTAGGGCTGCTCGCCCTCAAGCCAGCTGTAAGGAGCACTGAGTGGCCTTCCTGTGAGGCCGTTCTTCCCACAACCCTAAGAGGCTCTTTGGCAAACAATGCACAGGCCAGCTCTTGAAAACAAAGCCAAGGAGAAAAGCCTATCTTTGCCGATGGACAAAGCCAAAATTACTAAAAGAATATTGGTAAATGTGTATGTCCTATAACTCCACCCAACTCCACTCAACCCGAGTAACTGAGTTGGAGCTGCGGGCCTGTGCTGACTAGGAGGAGCTCTGCCACTTGAGCCACACCTCCAATCGTTTGGCTTCAGTAATTTTTCAAGTAGAGCCTCATGATTTTGTCCAAGCCAGCCTAGACCATGATCCTCCTACATATCTGAGGTCTTACTAACTTC